ACCATGTTGGCACTACCAGTTGGAATTTCATTGCATATCATGTGGCTGATGGAGAAGGCACGTTGAAATCAAGCTGTTAAACACACCGTCTCCATTTTTTATTTCACTAGAGTATGTTTGCTGTATGTTTAAAAGAGCATTGAAAAGCCCAGGAGATGAATTCTGCTCTGAAATTGCTATTTGCTGACATAGAAATAGCTGTAAAAATACAAGCGAAGAAAAATACAGTATAGCAATATATTTTCATTTATTTGAGGGAAAAGTAGTTTTAAAGAAGAATTACAGCCTGTCTTCTGAATGATAAAGCAGTGTAACTAGCATTAAACACAGCTGAAATTTTGTAATGACCAAACCTCAGCTCATCCAAATCCCCAATAGCATTAACTCCCTAGAATTGGGCTGTAAATTTGATTAGCCTTACAACAGACGTGAGACACAAATGTTCTTCTTTATACAGTCGTATTAAGTGACTGCAAAAGAAGATGACAAGGCATTGTAGAGCAGCCCATCCAACATTTTTAAGCTGGGAACAAGTTCCAGCTCACCCAGCTTTCAAAACTACGTTTAAATACAAGGTAATTTCATGAATTCTGATACAACATGAGGATTACATATGGTGAGGGAGGGAGGATTTAGCAGCTGCAGCCTTCCTATAAATCATCCAGAAGCTTTCTTCATACTTTACTTCACTTGATTGACATTTCCATGAAAGCTACATCACTGAATCTTAGCTTCTGTCCGTTCTTGTTTAATTTTATGCTTTTAAGATATATATTTATTAATCTTGTGCTTTTCTTTAACATGAAATTTGGTGCTGTAACTCCCGGTGTGGTCCAGTTTTACATGGAACTAATCAAGAGTATTGGCTAAAAAAATAATCGTTAAACAAGCTAAAGGTTATAGAGGCATCCTAGGGCAGATTTCTAGAAGTAAGAGCCAGGGACTAGAAGAAATTATGAGGCCTTAAAGATTTCGAGGTCCAAAGAGTTGCAGCAGCTTCTCTGGTGAGATGACACCGTGCATCACAGCGTGACTCCCAGAGCTCCCCACACGTGGCTGTTGCAGCCAGCACCACCCACAAAACCCTGCTCCCAGGTTTCACTTCTGTGGAATGCTGCACACGATTGCTCTGCCTCATCCTGGTTCTCCAGCCACTGGCACCCCGAGGGCTGGGGTGCCCATGCCTGCCCCCATGGCATGGAAGGAGCTGTGTGCAGGTGGTGCCACCCTGGCTCTCAAACCAGTCACCAGGCATTGGTGATCCAAGAGGTTCCAAAGTACATTACGCCTTTGGGTGAGGAGTTGCATAGTTTTGCTGTTATTGGTATTAATTTAATGTGGGTTTATTTTCATTTCTTTCACTAGGTTATTCTAATAACACATTTCTGGTGTAGCTTTATATTCTGATCCCCTGGGTTTGTTGTCGTCTGGACATAGTCCTGTTTGGAGAGAATCTAAAATGAACCCTGATTCGCTGATGAATCACACTTCTTTTGATAAAATAAATAAATAAAAGAAAAAACCTGGAGCAGTTTCCTAGTTATGGAAACAGATTTCTAACATCAAGACTAAACCCACAGATACATACAAATGGAGAATAAGAAACAGTTTCATGGTAATGAGAAACGGAAAACTGGAAATGTACCATTACGAATTTTGAGAGCCAGTATTCCTTTTTATCTCATAATTAGATAGTTTACACAGTGCTTGTTTTATAAATATATATTTGGCTCTTCCAGTGGAGATTTCACGATACTCCTTGAACAGAGCAGCCCATCTGAGAACCATGTAGTGCTAGGATATGTGCTACTTAGTTTAGAGGGTTAATGGGAACCATCATTTCTTCCTCATACTTGGTATTTGTGGGACTTGGACGCTATAGCCAAGGGTCATGGGGAATTAAATCTTTTAATTTAGGTGCTTCAATTTATCTTATAATCTCCATTTCTCTCCTCACCAGCTGTGCTGACTTCTCAAAGAAAGCAGTTGTGCCTCCTGATGGTTTTATGGCTTCACAGGAACTGCTAAAATAAGCCAGATCTTCAAACACCTGTTGAAGAGTCCTTTTTGAAGTTGTCATAAATAAGTACATATGATGACAACACACCTCAAGACCCTCTGATGGGGATGTGAAATAGCTGGGCCTCTCTGGCAATAGCTATTTTTCCATTCTTTCAGTTTAGGGTCTCAAACGAGCAAGTGGCTTTGCCAAACTGTGGGTTTGTTCTTTTATTCAATACTATTATAACCAATAAAAGGTATAGCCAAATTGCAAACGACTTATTACTGTTGCTACCCAGAGCTCCTTTTAGTAGCGTCCGCTCAGCAGCTGGCTGTGGATGCAGCTGGTCCTGCTCATGCTACAGCAGGCAAGGACCTCTCTTTGCTTCAGCAGTCCTGCTTCACACAGGCAGACACTGATGGAGGGAGGCACTGCCTTGAGGGAAGCACCCAAGATGATAGTTGATTTGCACGTCACTCTCTCGGTGGCAATTTAAACACCTACAGCAAAAGCAGTGTGGACCTCAGGCATCTCACAAGCTGTCACCTCCACTGTTTCCCCAACTGCCAAACAAAACACTGCAAAGACAAAGGCTTGAACATATGGATAAATAAACAGCCTAGTTCCCTATATTACTGGGCTTCAAGAGATTTCCACACATTCTTACAAAAAACTCCTCTCACTGATTCTCCCACCTCAAAAATATGTAGACACCTTCCCATGCTGGGAGGAGGTGAGAGGAAGAGCCTGTACCTTCCAAATCCTTCCAAAGGTATATGTGGTTAAAATACTTCCTTGCTCCTAAATGGAGATATAGATGGAAACCCAGCCTAGAAAACCAAACATTGTCATCTATCATCCAGGATTGAGGATGATGATATTATCCTCAATACCCTTTCAGTATATCAAGGAAATATATTTACAGCTCTCAATGTGAAAGACTCTTTCACAGAAACATTCATCCCACACATAAAAGACTTTCAGATTTGAACTGGGTAAACCTTTACTACAGCATATCACATTTCACTGACTCATAGAAGGCTTTAGAACCTTCTTCATGGCAGGACTTTATATACACACTAAACCTCATTAAGAACTTGCCGCCTTCTAGATAAGGCCGTGATATCCTTGCAACCCATCACAGCCAGATGCCAAACCCCACATTCCCCAACAGCATGAAAATCGGCACTTTCATTAAATTTTGCTCCAAGAATTCCTTTCAAGTTCAACCCTTAATCTCCGTATCTCCACGGGTCTGTAAAAGTGTTTCTTCACACAGTGGTGTCATGTCCCGGGAGGGTGTGGGAATTCCCAGCAGTACTGTCAGGCTCATCCCCAAGCTACCCTTACATTATGACAAGGTTTCCCTGTGGCTCCTCCCTAAGTTTTTTGCCAAGAGAGAATGCCCAAGTTCCCCATTTACCCTGCAGTGCTTCTCAAACCTCATCCCAGCAGACTGTTAGCCTCCTATTTGCACAGAACAAAATCCTTCTGGTAATCCCCTATATAGTTCTTCTCCAATGAGAATGTTGATGAGGAGTTAAAAGGTGACGTGAGATACTTTCTAGTCTAAAATTTTTTAATGTATCTTAGATCAGATATGCTGCTTTGATGCTCATGCATGTAAAAAGAGCAAAGTCCAGGCCTTGGTGACCTCCTCTGAATACATTAAGATATTAAAGGTGAGCATATGCAGTAAGTGTTTGCAGGACTGAGACTGCCAGGACTTAGTACACTGCAGTCACAGTGATAACCTGACTTACTAATTCAGAAGGTGCAAACTCAAGATTCAAATCACGGGCTCTTCCTGAAAGTGCAGAGTATACGTTCAAAGCAAAAGATCTTTTTTATCAGATATTATTCACTAATGCTCACTGAAGTTGGCAGTAAGACAATCAGTTGATTTTTGGCTAAGCCAGCATATTTCTCCTATCATGAACTCTTATCATCAACAAACAAACAAAAAAGCTCAAATTTACTCTGCTTTGTGGAAGGCCCGACATCTGGTCCCAGGAATTTCAGTGGTTAATAATGCAGAAGCCACACTCAGATTATGATTGTACTGGAGAAGCCAGATTCAATATTATTCAATGGCACCATCTTCAGTCAACTACAAAACTGATTATTAAGTGGCTTTCAGAAGAAGCCATGTTCACCTGTCATAAGTCAGGGACAAACATGGCATCAGTGCTTCTGAACTTGCATGCTACAATCTCAGGAAATCTACTGTTTCAGAAGAAATATCAAGAGTACGAGTTCCCCCCCAGAAGGGAAAATCCCAAAGCATTTTGTCTGCTTTAAATTGAGAGAGAAAAATACTGTCTGAAGAATATTGATTACAGACAGTCACTTCTGGGAAAACGTTGCCTTGGTTTGTTTTTCTTCGAGGGCTGATTGGTTTTGATTAATTATTTCTAAAGTAATTGGTAGATCCAGACCAAATCATGCAGCCTTCTGGCCACATGAATGCTCAGAAAGATTCCATAAATCAAATACCAATTCCCAAAGTTTGGAATTAGCTTTTGTTGCTTCAGAAATAGTACTTACTGCCCTAATTCCTTATCTTTCTTTACGCTGTAAAACTAAGAGTATTTTTTTAAGTAAGTAAATAAATAAAATCATTGAGCCTGATAATAGAATTCAATCCTATCTTCTTAGGTGATAGTACAATTATTTGTGGGAGTCTAATTATCGTAAATGACATCACCTGAAAGCGACTTTCAGCTCAGAATAGAATTGCTGGACCATCTGTTTCTGAGGCAGAATTTTGTCAAGTGGTTTTAGTTATGTTTACCAGACATGTATAGCTAATTGCCAGCCAAGTCCTCCCCATCTTCTTCCTTTCTTCCTGTATGCATGCGTGCTTTCAGAATGGGACTAGTGTATGCAGGCATCTTGTTCTTACAGCTAAACCTGAGAGCTGAATCAATGTGGATCGAAGAATAGCTTTTTCATCCTTCCAAAGCTGAGTATTTCACAGTTTGTGTTTCCTTTTCAGCTGACCCCCTGGTTGGAAGTATTGCCACTCAGTATATGACTAACAGAGCAGAGCACGACAGAATGGCCAGACAGTGGACCAAGCGATATGCCACATAGGAACCTACTCTAGGATTTGCTGGACCTGTGCAAGCACATTCACTAAGTGCATCAATAGCCCTTCCCTTCATTCTTATTTTTTATTAAATTTTGAACCATTTTGTGACAAAAGGTTGTCCTTACTTTCTTTTTTGTTTTATTTTTATTTTTATTTGTTTGGTTTTTTTTTTGTTCTGTTAACTTGAAAGTTGTTTCCCTCAAATGTAGACAGGGAATTTTGGTTATCAGTGCAAAGAATGTTGGATCTGTAATAGTATAGAGCTTTGTCACAAAGCTTTGTATTAATGTGTGGGTTTTGGTTGGTTTTTTTCTTTTCCTTCATGTGGTTTTGGGGAAAACAAATGAATTCAGAATTATATCTCATTTCTACTTAAATGTAGTGTCTAGGGTTATTTTTTTGTACTGAAGTCTAATGGTGGGTGCATGCTACTGGGAACAAGTTTTGTATAAAAGCTTAAAATCAAGAATCACTGTGCATTACTAAGACTGTGTTTATCACTAGCCTTCTGTTTCCCACGCAAAAGGCTACTGCGTTGAACAAATTAATATGTATTTTGATTTACTTAAAAAAAAAGAAAAAAGTGCTTGTAAATTTCTTAGGGACCTGCCACTTTTGACTGTGGATCAGTTGATGTACACTTGTATTATTAAAACACTCAATAAAACACTGTGGCTGATAAATGCACTTCTTGCAAGACGGTGCTTTTGCGTTTGTGCAGTATAGGCTGCATAGTCCTCTCAAAAGACAACTGCAGGTTAAGCAGTTTCAGACCTAAATTATTAATTTCTTCTCAGCAATGCATTTCTGAACTTAGAATTCTTCATGGTGTATTCATCTCATTTACAAACATCTCCCAGATTTTAAGGCCTTTCTTTCACATGCTAGTGCTCAGCCTAGCTATTCGGAAGCCTCTTGCTGCATCTTTTATACTATGCTTTCACTATATCCATCTCATTACATTTAAAATAGTTGGCTATAAAAATAGCCTTGCATGGAAAGCAGAATATTGATGATGATTTTATACAGCAGGCCTCATTTTGCCTTTCTCCAAGCTCTTTAATTGTAAAACCGACTGTTATTTAAAAAAATAAGTGAAGGTTTTCGATGGGAAAACGGAGCCCGTTGCACCAATCATTCCCAGCACGTTCAATGGTAAGGGCATTTCTATTCAGAGTTGACCTTCAGGCTAATTTTAGGTATGCAGCCATAGAAGGAAAACTTATACTTGTCTAAGGAAATGTGTGGGTATTGTGATTTAGAAAATATATAGTGTGATGCTGATATCTGTAATGCTCGTTCTTTGTGTTGCAAGTCATGTTGGAAAATCCTTGTCTCTTATAATTAAACATTACAGATGCTATATACAGTGCTTGCCTGCCCTCTCCCCTCTCTCCTTGCCTCTTATATTTAAAGAAGATCTTAAAGAAGATATATTACAATAGGGACAGTATAAACATATGGGGAGACCCAGTCCCATTACAATTCCACCCAGTCCAACCATCCTGAAAACTAAAGCAGTCAGTGTGACACCATAGAGCCTCTACGCCAGCCACTGTGCTGCTCAGCATTTCCAGGCTGGTTTGTTTTTCTCTCAGCCATTTGCTAATAACTAAACAGACACAACACTTGAATCTACTGGCGAGCTGGCCTCTGTGTGAAGAGAAGCTGAATGCTGACTTTGTTGTAGGTGGTATATAACTACAGCCCCACAGACCACAGGGATCTCAAAGAAATAATCAGTCTCTTGTGATCAAAGCAAATGGAGAGTCTGCTGGTGTCTGCAAAAGCCAACTGTTTACAAGCCCTGCCATACAACATTTTGAGGCCAACAGATCCTAGATACTGACATGAAAGAACAATTGCAGTTCAAAAATAAAACAAATCAAAACCCCAAAACCAGACTTTTCTGAGCTAGAACATCTTTTCAGGACAACTGTTATGCATGCTTCCTTTGGAAATTGTTTCCATCATACATCTTGCCACAAAGTATCTCCACATCTGAAGGGAACCTTCCTGCTGTAAAAATACAACAAAGGGGTAAAGGGATTAAAAAGAACAAGTGCATCTTGCCCAGTACAGTAACCGCATTAATTCTCATATCCAATCTGCTGAAGAGATTCCTGCCATAAAAGACCTGTATCCCCTGAGACAGCAATTAATGGGCAATTTCATATTTCTTATGAAGTACTTGAAGTGTCTGCCACTCTGCAGCCCTTATTTACACTCAGCTGAGCATAATGCAGTAATTTCCCAGGTACATTTTAAACCTGCTTGAAAAATAAGTCTTTAATTCCTACTGTCATCTTTTTCCCCCTCTCCCAAACACAAAGAAGACATTATAAACAGAAAAGCTAATGGTATCTCTAATGAAGATGTAACTGAAAGACAGCTGAGATACCTTGGAGGAGGAAATCACAGAATTCTTAATAAATGTCTGTTTTCAGTTCATCAGCTCTTGCTTGCCTTTCTTACTGATCAAAAGCTGCACAGTTTGAATTTGCAGGTAAGTTGCCCTCTGTGTGAAGCTGAACAGTAGCTTTGTCCTAGATAATATAAAACTACTACCTTGAGAACTACAGGAATCTCAAAGAAATAATCAGAAAGGATCAACCCACATTGATTAAAGCAGGTGCAGAGTCTTCTGGCATCTGCAGGAGCCAAATGTTTGCAAGTCTGGCCATAAACCCCTCTTTTCTATTTGCAAATCTGCTCTATTTGCCTCCCAAGTAATTCGTTTTCTTCCTTCACCTGCTAAACCTGGGAAATACGAAGCAAGATTTGAAACCTGCTGTTGTCACTGAGGAGAAATGAGCCATCCCCAACAGAATTCAGTCTGCCAGCAGAGCCCCACTGAACAATAATGTATTGGCATAGTCTCTTTTTCTCCTTTGCTTTTTCCTACATCTAGAAGATACTGCGCATTGTTCTGTCTCACCTTTGCTCTCCACATCCTCTGCAGATTTAGCTGATTCCTGCTTCAGTTTTTATGACAAATCATCTTTCTAACTTCTTCCAGATCATGAAGTCCACACGCTGCCCTCCTACAACTGGATGTGAAGATCATTCAAATGACTTGCACATAGTAAAACATTCAGTAGCATACAGTTGTCCTAAAACAACATATAAAGGCCATTGCTTCAGAAAATCTCAGTATTTTCTCTGGGACACACAAATGCTAAAACTGGGTTTATTTCTTTAAAGACATCTTACAGCTTTCCTGAATTCAAATGCAATATCAAGTAAACAATATTTAATTTCCAGTAACCCCAGCTACATGTCACTGTCCCATACCCTTTGAGTGTAATTCATATGAAACAGAAATCAGGGAAGTCTCCAAACTATATTTACCCATGTGGTCTTCATCTCCCCTTGTCCAACTGACCAGCTGATTGCTGATTTTCCTCTCTAGAAAACTGCAGAACAACACAGTTTAAATTAGGGTACCCAAAAGCATCCTGTGTTGCCAGAGACAGCATTTCCAGACTGCCCCAGGAATCAGCAGGGTCATAAACCCTTTTGATCACACACATTGTGGGTGATTGCAGCCAAACAGTTAAAATCCATTAAAACCAGCTGCTGTGCCATGAATAAGGCAGGAATTCCTCTTGAAAGATCTTTCTTCAAGTTTTCACATTGTGAGCTACAGATGCCCAGCCAGTGGATGGCAGCTCACAGCCCTTCTGCCCTGCTACACTGTGCAAAGAGACCATGTAAGAATAAAACACCAAGGGTATTGGGCCCCATAAACCCCAAAATTTGGGCTCTCTTCAAAGTCATCTCAACCCAATGCGCACTCTGGGTGCAGTGCATGCTCTGAGCTGCTCTTTCAGCATGCTGTTAAGCATGCTTCCTCTTGATGGTTGTCTTATTTATGGCATTAATCCTTCTGATTTACTCCTTATTCACCCTTCCCTTCTCTATGGCTGCTTTCTTCTGCTTGACTGATTCGTTACTCGAAGCTGAGAGGCCACCCAAGACACTGGTCCCAGTTCAAATAGCTCTTCCTGAAGGTGCCTGAGCATAGAAACATCTTTGTCCCCCAAGTACCTGCCCAGAGTGTGCCTCCAGGCCCCTCTCTGCTCCCTCTTGCCTGAGGCAGTGCCTAATGCAGCAGGAAAAGCAGAGGCAGCTCTGCTGGAGTCCAAAGATGCCAAGTGATGATTCAGACAGTGCAGCAACTCCCACTTATTCCAGCCCCAGCATTATCCTGGGGTCCCTTTTCTCCTTTCCTGTTCTCAGAAACTTCTGTCTCTGAAGTGGGACACCTTGCCCCAGGCCCAACGTGTTTGCCAGCATTTTGAGCTGGGCAGACTCAGCAAGGATTCGAAGTAAAAGCTCTGGCACCTTCACAGTCCAACCATCCAGCCTTGGCAGCCACGATACCTGCACAGCCAGCTCTGCCTGGTGGTTTTCCATCTCCAGTTGCTCTCTCTTTTCTTCTTTTCATTCCCTGTCATTTCTTGTCCTGTCCTTTCCCCCAGTACATCTATACTAAATCTTGAAGCTTCCATCTCCCCTATTCCCTCGCCTCAGTTACAGCTTTGTTCTTCCTGCAATACTAATGAGACAATGTCACTAAACACTGGGCCTCTTGGAGATGATTGAAATCCCCTGATTTTTAGGTCTTAGAAGCAAGGAAGAGGTTTGTATGTATTAAGTACTTCCTCATTGTGCCACGCCTGGCACTGGCTATAAAATATATCACTTCTCCCACACACATCATTAGCAGTAATGAAATCCGGGCTGGCCTGCCTCCTTAGCATGACATCCATATGCAAATGCATTTCCTCCACTCAAACGATCTGCAGATCCAACGCATGGCTGCTTGGGACTCCTCTGGCAGCCTCTTTCAGGTCACAACTGGAATATATTTGAGGACTACTATTTACCAGGAAGACTTTTATGACACCTTTAAATCCGTCGTTCTGCACCCTTATTCCATCATGAACTTTAATAGGGACCTGCAGCACTTCGGGATAATGAAAAGGGCACAGCAAAACATCCCTTTCATGTGTACTTTAATTGTAGAAAGAAAGTAGTCACGGGCTGATGGAAGGTTGAAATAAAGACAAGGCTCCTAAGCCATCCTAATCCCTCGCCAGTCCTAAATTAGAAAAATCCCACTTCACGTAACAGCTAAATAGAAGCTGTATTTACTTCTGTAGATTCAACAGAATTGAATCCAAGAAAACCACTATCCAGGCGTCTCAATAGTAAACATGGATGGTCAGATCACACATTTCCAGAGAGGTTTTCTAGGGAATGCTTCCACAAGGAAGAACTTGCCAGCACTCTCATCTCCTCCATCCCTGTCTGGCTGCATGCAGGACTTCCCCCTTGGCAGTCTCTTGGGAAATAAGGGCTGGAAACAAGCTCTTCAGGTCATTCCTTATTGTCACTGGTCCTCAAACACACTCACTCACAACAGGCGTTTGTTGCTGCAGAATCAGTGCTGGGGTCCCCTTTTGTGTCACTGAGGACCTTGGGGTCAGGAAAAACAAAGGGTCACACTTCAGTTTCTGTGAAATGCCTCCTTTCTTTGCAGTTGACTCATACCCTTTGTAAGGCCCTGAATGGGATCTCTTCACATGAATGGAGCTCCTACCACACAGATTTCAATACAGCCCTGCTCCTTTCTCCACTTGTCATAAACAGGGCAAAGAAAGTGCTTCTGCACTTTGGAA